GTGAGGCTCAGGAGTGTCAGGACTTATTCAAAGTTGCACAGCTTATAACCACAACATCAATTGCTGCCTTTTATTACACATTTTACTATATGTGTGGTCTTTGGGATGCTCAATACTATATACTAAGTTTTATTTAATCATCTCTGAAAGTGTATCAGGAAAGTGCTACAAACTCTTTTATTGTAGATATGAAGAAACTAGAGATCAGGAGACATACTATCTTGCCCAAATCATCTTAATAATAAAAGGTTAATATGCAAAATCTACCAAATAGAGGAATAACCAAATGTTAGAAATGGTTGCTATGACACACACTGACCACCTGGGGGCAGATTGTCAACAGAGTTCAGTGTGCTCCCACAGGGGGCGCGCTGCTCAACCAGAAACCCTGAGCTGAGCTCATGACTGGCAAGCTCAGCCCCGAGGGCTCCTAGACTGAGAGGCCACAGGCCTGGCTGAGCAATATTTCCCTCTCCCCCAGCGTATGGATTTCATGCACTGGGCCTCTAGTAGAGCTAATTAATGTCAGACTGGAACTTGAGTCCTTACTGTCAGACTTCTAGGTCATTCTTGGAACTGTTGGTCTAACATTCATGGCTGTGGGACACTCTTCTGTGTCCCTTGATGACTTCTCACTTTTCACCCCCAGGACCTCAATTGGCTCAACAATTGCAGACTATCTCATTTTATATTTACTTTTATTTATTTATTTTTTAAATATATTTTATTGATTTTTTACAGAGAGGAAGGGAGAGAGATAGAGAGCTAGAAACATCAATGAGAGAGAAACATCGACCAGCTGCCTCTTACACACCCCCTACTGGGGATGTGCCCGCAACCAAGGTACATGCCCTTGACCGGAATCGAACTCGGGACCTTTCAGTCCGCAGACCGATGCTCTACCACTGAGCCAAATCGGTTTCGGCAGACTATCTCATTCTAAAACGAACAAAATATTGTGCATTCTTGGAAATATTGCTCCTGTGCTATACTAATGAAAGGCACGGTCTTTTGCTGGCGATGCTTGTTGGATGGTATTTATGCTAATATCATAGATATTCCTTAAAGATGACACTTTTGATGGTAAATATATATTATCATGGGCTCACTTTTTTATCAATTATTTTATATGGATATTCATTTTTGAATTTATCCTATCTAAAGTTTCAACTCCTACCAATCTTCAACATCTCCCATTTCATATTCCTCTTCCTTATTTTTTCTCTTTAACTCTTAGTACCGATATATTAATATACAGGGGTGGACAAAAATAAGTTTATAGTGGTTCATGTAGGAAATAATATAATAATTAATAAATAATAATACAAGAACAAACTGTTTCACTTACAACTGTAAACTTACATTTGTCTGCCCCTGTATTTTACTTCCCTTGTTTATTGTCTGTCTCCTTCTCTAAAATAAAATTTCCATAAGGACACACCATTTTGTCTGTTTTGTTCACTACTGTATCCCATGAACTGACTGAATGAAAACTCAATAAATGTCAGCAAGTAAATCAACATTTGTGTTTAGATAGTATTCTTAGTATTTATGTTATGTGGATGATTGTTGTGGAATGAAGTAGAGAGCAATATCTGAGACTAAGCTTTCAGGAGTATTAGCATCTACCTACACATAGTCTCACTATCATATGATGTATGTATGTATATACCAAAGGAGACTAAAGCCAATAACAGAAAGATAAAGATAAGATCACTAGATGAGGCAGCCATTTCAGAAGTGTGTAGGATGATCACGTTTGCATATTAGCTTCTTCTCTCTCTCCCAATAATATCATCAGCAGTTAGGAGTGATGCGTTATGGAGGGATGAACCTTAATGAGGAGGTAGCAGTGTGGTAATTAGCACCATAGCTGATGATCTCAGAACACTGGGGTTCAATTCTCAGCTATTCCACCTAATAGCTCTAAAATTTTAGAAATCACTAATATTTTTTTTACCAAAATTTATTTATCCTGATACTTCAAGGAATTCTTCAACCCTAAGAAACTGTTAAAACCTATTGTAGTAAGAGACTGGATGCTTCTCTCTCGGGAGATCTAGAGTTTTCATCAAATTTTCAATGTCTCAGTATTTATAATAATCTGGGTATCTAAGACCAAGTGATGTTATAAATAAATCTGCAAGATGCATTTCTTTAGATTGGCTTAAACTCCCATAAGGCTAGTCAGACTCGTGATATTTTGCAAACCCTTAATATTTCTCTGTTTCTAATTACCCTGAAATCTACATAAACCAGAACTGCAAAATAGAATTTCACTATGATTACAATCACCTTTCCACAGTTGAGGTTAAATGATTTGACTACATGACAAAGACACTTCATACATAAATTTCTTTTTTAAGAAATCATATTTTATTGTCAACAATAACTATGTATCTCTCATAGAAATGTGGCTTTTTGAGAGTAAAAGCACCATGCCTTACTCATTTTTGTGATCTTAGCATCTAGAAAATGTAAAGCATGTATTACACACTCAAAATGTGTTTGCTCTATTATGACTGAGCTGGATATTAGTCTCAGGTTTTCTGATTGTAAATCCTCAATATAGTCTCTTTTCATAAAGTTAGTCTAACGGGGAAGTCTCATTGCTTTGTTAATATACTGTTTCAGCATTTTTTCTTACTATCTTCCTCAGCTAGGGTACTAGTTATTACTGTTATATTCATATCATGGAAAGGAAAGAAAGCACGAATCAAGAGTCTAACAAAAAGCAAAATATATAGGTTGTTTCTCTTGAAATCAGATGGAAACTGAAGTTGGTGATATGTTTTAAAACAATTGAAAAAGTAGTCACTTATGAATACTTCATTTTTTTTTAAATAAACTCAAAGCAACCAATCACAGTAAACCTCTTATATCATTTTCTAGGGATCAGATCATCCTTAGGGCCATTAGTTGCATTCACTCTGTCCCCCTGGTATTTGCATCAAATATTAAATTTTCAAATTTTATATTCTCAAGTTTTCCTGTTTGGGTACATTTATACCTCTGTTGCATTTTCTGATCATATTCTTCTGTTTTATTACACTAAATTACTCCTAAACACATCTTTAAATCAGATGAAGAATATCCACCCAGTACTGGAGCTATGTATTGAGAGTAATTGGAGTCCATTGGCAGAGATTCATGCTTAACTGGCAAGAAGAACAGAGGTGAATATGAATCTTAGAAAACAATGAAAAAAGGTGGGCAGTAGAATCACAGATAATAGTAATATTACCATGTTGATTTTTTCCTTATGTAATCTCAGGGCAGTATCCAAGGAATATTGGTTTATTAATATGTAAATACTCTCATCATCTATCTAAGATGAAGAGCAAACTACGTTTAATATTTGCATTTCCTTCATTCCTTTCCTTTCCTTTCCTTTCCTTTCCTTTCCTTTCCTTTCCTTTCCTTTCCTTTCCTTTCCTTTCCTTTCCTTTCCTTTCCTTTCCTTTCCTTTCCTTTCCTTTCCTTTCCTTTCCTTTCCTTTCCTTTCCTTTCCTTTCCTTTCCTTTCCTTTCCTTTCCTTTCCTTTCCTTTCCTTTCCTTTCCTTTCCTTTCCTTTCCTTTCCTTTCCTTTCCTTTCCTTTCCTTTCCTTTCCTTTCCCTTCCCTTCCCTTCCTTTCCTTTCCCTTCCTTCCTTCTTTCCTTCCTTCCTTCCTTCCTTCCTTCCTTCCTTCCTTCCTTCCTTCCTTCCTTCCTTCCTTCCTTCCTTCCTTCCTCTTTCTTCTTCCTTTTCATAACTGTCATCTGTTATTCTCTGCATTTTCTGAACCCCATGAAGTTATGTTAGGAACCAAATGTCCCCAAAGGTTGTGCAAAGATGCATCAAGTGCCTGATGCAAGAACACATTCCTGAATATTGTACTAAGACTGTAAAGCAAGTCGCAATAGATATAAATATATAAGCAAATACAGAAAGAATAAAATTCTATTAACTAATGCTGTTTTCAGACATCTGACTATAAGAAAGGTTTATAGGCAAACAATTGTATAACTAGGCCATTCTAGTACTTATAAAATAATTCAGATTATACAAGATCCATTAAGTTCCATGTTATATAAATTCAAAGTAGTTCTTAGTTTCAATTTGAAACATTTTCTTACAGAATATTATTATAATTTATAAGTGAAAAAACTTTACTGTCTAAAATGTATATATAAATCTATATATCATTGATAAATATACTTAAACTCTAACAATTTCATTGCACAAATAATTTTGGCAAACAATAGTGTTTTGAATATTTCATGTTAAATTCTAAATGGAAAAAATATCAACACTACTAACTTATTTCACTTAAATTGATAATATATGTGGTTTAAAGAAAAAACAACAGTATATTAGCACTTATTTGATAGGATGAAAGCGCATTTATGTGTCTGTATTTTAAATTTATAAATATAATAAAATCTTAAAAATATTTATAAGTTTCCTAAATCATATATATGAGGGAGTAATTATTAATTTATATTTACCTAGAAGGTCACTTAATGAGTAAATTTGCATTATTTAAACTGATTCATCAAACAATGTCTATGATTGTAAAAGTAGTTATGCTACACACACAATTATACAGAAAATCTTTCACCAGATCATTGTTAAAGTTATTTGAGAATAACCTCAGGCAGCACTTGTAAATTCAGATAACATAGTTTTAGTGCCAAAATACACATTGATTTTATAGGGAACTGCTTTATTGAAAAAAGTAAAGCCTATCTTCATTTTAAACACTTGAAAGACAATGTCTTTGTACTATGAATAAAATAATTATTTTGAAAACTTAAAAAAATAACTAAATTTTCCCATTTAACAGTAAATATTGCATGCAAAAGACTCTAGCAAACATTTTTAATAAGTTTAACATGTCCAACAGATCAGCAATTTGTATCACTTCACAAAAAAGATTCCACAGTAAATGACTAGGTCTATGGGTGCATGCAACAGCATAGTATGTTTAGAGTCAAAAAATAAAGGAAAAGGCAATTACCCTAAAAGACATTTCAAGATTCTCTCCACCCCAGATATCCATTCCTGCATCGTAAGTTCCTATCTCTTCAAAGTAGTTTCTGTCAATAGAAAATAGGCCACCAGCCATAGTAGGGGTCCTAGTTGAAAAAACAAAACAAAAAGAAAAGAATATCTTTTGAAAACAATATGTGGAGTTTAATGACTGTAGCAAATATCTTTGAGACATTTTACATTAAAAATAATACTATTCAAAAATCTCAAACTGAAAACATAAAGCCAAGATGTAAGAGGTCTTAAAATTAGTAAATAGCATTTTATCATATTTTCTGTAAAACTAAACTTAGATTAGACTCTTTTTGTTATAGGTGATCATACAGTCACATGGAATAACACAGGGCACTTAAGAGGAGGGCATCTACATTCCTTTTGAAAGGCCAAAGTGAAGAGAAGTTAGTGCTCTTTGTACCACCCTTTAAGAGATTACTAATCATGAAACTGCCCGTAGTGATCTTTTGTCATCTGATTATAAATCATTTTCATGTGAAAATGGGTTTTCTAAGGAAATATCTATAGCCTACTTAAATATGAAAAATATTGAATGCTATAAAATTTTTATAGACAGTTAAGTAATAAGAATTACAAAAGTATTTTCAAACATCAGAATATTACACCTATCACATATTTGTCTCTTTAGCTAACTAAAATAACACTATTAATCATATAACACTGGAGAAACATAGATCCCTTTGCTATGCAGAGATTTAAAGTAAATTTGGCACAGATGCTAAAACTTTTTCCTAGAAATAAATGCTTTTGGTTCTTAAATTCAAAACTTCTCTATAAGAACTAAGAAGTCAAATGTTTTGTCTTAAATGATTAATTAATTTTAAAAGATCATTAAAGCAATGTTGATGTGTGAACTATACAAGTCTTTCTATACAAGTACTAGAGGCCTGATGCACAGAATTTGTGCACAGGGGTGTGTGTGTGGGGGGGTGCCCTCAGGTTAGCCTGCACCCTCTCCAATCCAGATTTCTCAGGGGATATCTGACTGCCAGGTTAGGCCGGATCCTGGAATTGGACATCCCTCTCACAATCCTGGACCACTAATCGCTCACTTGCCTGCCTGTCTGGTCACCCTAACAGCCCTCCCCTGCTGGCATGATCACCCCTCACTTCCTCTGCATGCCTGCCTGATCGCCTCTAACTGCCCCCTCTGCCAGCCTGTTTGCTCCCAACTGCCCTCCCTGCTGGCCTGGTAGCCCCCAACTGCCCCCTTCAGCAGCCTGGTCACCCCTCTTCTTCCCCTCCCCCTCACTGGCCTGGTCACCCCATGCAGCCTGCTTGCTCAGTCGTTTGGTCATCCATCACTAACCCCGCTGCTGGCCTGGTCATAGGCAGCCATCTTGTGAGGGTATGAGGGTTAATTTGCATACTACCTCTTTATTACATAGTATTATAAGTTTAACTTAAAAAGTATGGCTTATTTGGTTGGGCATAGTCCCATGTACCAAAAGGTTGCTGGTTGGATTCCAGATCAGGGTACATGACTGAGTTGGGGATTTGATCCCTGGTAGGGCGCATGCAGGAGGCAGTCTATTGATGTTGCTCTTTCTCTCTCCATATCTCTTCCTCTCTAAAATCAAGAAACTAGTCTTTAAAAAAAAAAAAAGAAAAAGAAAGAAAATTCTAGTTGTTCACAACTGGATCTATCTACATTGGAAATTATTATTTTTGAACATTAATTGTAGTATAGTGGTTTCCAATCTTCTTAGCAGCTCTGACAAACTTTTAAAAAATGCATTTCCATGCTTGGGTATGACTCTCCATATGACTCAGATTTCATTAACAGGACATGGGGCCGGACCTTTGGCATTGCGTAAAGTTCCCAGCTCATTATAATGTGCTGGTCAAGAAGAGAAACACTGGTCGAGTAACTAATTTGGAACGTTCATCCACCTGGTCTGAGATTAGTAAAAAAGAAAACAAATGTTTTGCTTCTCCTTGAAATTATATCCTCTTCTGCCACAGGATATGTTCATGTCCTCTAATTGAACAGTACAGTTCAATGAAAAAAACCACCAAATAATATTGAACTTGGATAGCTACCAGATTGTGAGGTTCCTGATTTCTCCCCGTGCTCTCACTGTTTTATACTCAAGTAATTAACTGCCCGTCAGCTGGAGGAGCACAGGCTCTCTTAGTCTTGGAGCAGTTTTATCACTTCTGGTCTTGCTGAGTTCCTATCAGGAACAGCACCACTGGCCTTCTGAATTATTAGAGAAGCACTAACAAAGTGAAACAGATGGTACTTACGGTAGCCACAACCCTCACCTGACTGGGGTTTTGGAACTCTACGGCAATAACTATATATGGTACTAGAGTGCTGGAAAGCTTATATAATAAAATGAGGAACAAAAAACTGCTTCAATTATCCTATCATAATGCTACCAAATGCTTAAGAATGTTAAGTAATGCATTTTTAATGATCAGTTCAGAGTGCCTATCCACTTATCTGTGAACTCCCTTACATAGCTAATAAAGATCTAATGCATTAAAGTTAAATACCAGAATTGATTTTCATCTTACATTTTGGTCATAATTCCTATACATGTGTGAGAAATGTATAATAAATGGCTATAGTAAATCACATTTAGCTGTAGGAATGACTCAAAAAGTTTCACTTATTCTTGAAAAGTAACAAAAATAAAATGGCCCCTCAAAAAAAAAATCCTGTATTTCTGAAGAAATAAGATGCTAGAGACAATTTTTTGTCTTTGCAATGTCAGCTTTCGCAAATCGTCTATAGACCATTCCTTAAATTAGATCTACAGCCAAAGCCAGAGTTATGCAACATGTTCTGTTCTAAGTAAACTAAATGACCAATTTATGTATGCCTATGTGAACCCTAAGTGTTCAGGTGTCTAGAAGATAAAGACCTTGATTAGAGTTGAATTATCTGAGAGTATATCCTTTTTAATATTGTGTTTATACAATGTCGCACCAACTAACTAATTCACTCAATGGAGGGAATGGGGCAGAGCTCAATGGCTATGAATGTGACCTATTACACAGTAGGTAGGTGAAGATGAATTAATAGAAGAAAAACACTTAGCACAGTGCCCAGCACATAATAAAGCTAGGTGATATATCTTTGTTGTTGATGTAATCATTCAAAGAGAAAACTTGAGTATCCTTAATTTTAGCTCCCCATAAACACACCCCAACTTTAGATTTCAAGATCATTTGGAACTATGTCATATCCAAGATATTGAACACTGAAATCTGCCACTCTGAACACAATTTATTTTATAAGCTTTCCTATTTCAATCCAATGGAAGTCATTTTTAATTCTTCATTGGGTGATTTGGGTTTCTTAGCTATTCAATGTTTTCACATAACAATCCCCTTTAGGAATTGCTTTCTTTCTCCCACTGCCTCTTCAAGATTCAGCCATGTCAAGGAAAAAATTAGCCTAACCCCCGAGGTTCTCTGCCCTGGCCTTATATAACTTATTATCTTTTTGTAAATATAGTACCTGGATAAGATTATCATTTCTCTTCTTCATCTATTTATGCTCCAAAGACCTACAAAGTCATTAAAAAAGTAATATGATAAGTTCAACTGGTCGTACTGGAAGTCCATGTTATTGACTCTGCTTAGGATCCTTTATCTATGTTTATTTGTTCACTTGTCTCATTTGAAACTTTTCCAAAAGTTTGGGACACTTCTTCAGAAACTAGAGATTGAGTCAATGCATAAAATGTGAACTCCCTCACTCTCTATTTCTAGCTCTCTCTATAGATAGATAGATAATTAGATAGATGATGATGATGATGATAGATGATAGATAGATGATAGATCTTCTTATGGACCCTTTCTCTTGTTTCAGAGGCAAGAATATCTCTTCATTATAGGCTAGCATTTACTCTTGTCTCCTCAGCTGGCTCTTTTCTGACTACTCTTTCAGCACCTTGTTCACTGGCTATTAGATTTGTGTTTTATGCCTTTTGATTTCTCTAGATTGTCATCTTGAGCTTATAAAACTTCAATTAAGTTCTATGCTAAGTCAAAATACACCTTCAATGCCATCCTAAGACTCATTTAAACTAAGGATATATATTTTTTATTCCCTTATTGGATAACCTTTTTGAAAGGATACTCTCTATATACTCCCTCAACTCCTCTTCACTTTCTAACTAAAATCTGGATCTTGCTCTCAACTCTATGACAACTTTTTTTTTTCTGAACCTCAATTGCCTTTCCTGGACTTCTCCATTTGAAAACATTTAACACAATTCATTGGCTCCCCTGCTTGAAATCTTTTCACCTCTGACTCCCCTTGCATTGTTCTAGAGAGATTGTTCCTTCTTTCAAGCAGAATATTCAGTTATGATTCTTATTGATGCCCCTTCCTCTTCCTTTCCCTTGCTGGTTATCAGATCTTAGTCAAGTTTTTAGTTTCACATTTGCAACATGAGTACACAATACAATTTATATCGCCGTTTCCTAACAATGTGCACTTAACAATTATTGCCTTTTGTCCCAAAATGCAGTCTTCCCCAGGGTCTCCGAGTAACACTTTTCTCTTTCTATCCTTCTATAAACTCATTTGTCATATGTCTCTAATCATCATCTCTATGAGTGGGACTCCTAATCCATGCTTCTTTTCTCTCTTCCCTCTGCATTGTGTGCTTTTTGTTTTCTTTAAAAAGTTATTTTTAAATAACAAGATATTTTCTTTTTAAAAAAATCTTGCCTAAACCGGTTTGGCTCAGTGGTAGAGCGTTGGTCTGTGGACTGAAAGGTCCAGGGTTCAATTCCGGTCAAGGGTATGTACAATGGTTGCAGGCATATCCCAGGTAGCGGGTGTGCAAGAGGCAGCTGGTCGATGTTTCTCTCTCATCAATGTTTCTAGCTCTTTATCTCTCTCCCCTTCTCTCTGTAAAAAAATCAATAAAATATATTTTTAAAAAAATCTTTTTGACTCTGCTCAGTGTGCTTAGCACAGAACTGAGAATGTGCTATCTCTTTTCTATCTGCTTCTCTTTCAATGTCCCCTATTTCCTTCCAGAGCCTTAATATAAAATGAAGAAAATGCCTTTCAATGCCTTTAATTTTTGTGGCTCATTCATTC